TGTAAAAGTTTTCTTCAGGAAAGTCTTACATGTCTTGGCAATTTATGTCACGGTCATTTTTAAAATTAATTTTATAAGAGGTTTTTAATTATAACTATTGGATTTGTATATGTATTTTACAATTGGCCCCCTTGCTACATTCATATTAAAGCATTGCTGTAGAAACCAAAATGGTGGCTTATGCTCCAGAAAAGTAAATATATTAGAAGGAAATCCACTTGCTAGTCACCAATGACATCAGGCTCTCCTATTTGGAGTAATGACACGATCATACACTTATAAAAAGACACAACTGCGTACCAATACAACTCTAAACTAGGGCCTATAAACTAAGAAGCACCTCTATTTCTAATGACTTTCCATTTGCCTGAGTTTTCCAACAGTTGAACCTGCACCTAATTTTACCTCCTTTCTGTAACATGAAAATCCCTAGTGGTACTTCTAAAATGGGAGTTAGTGTAGTTAATTCACAGGATAAAATGCAGGCATCATAAAAAATTGAACACATATCCCTTTAAATATTTTAAATTTAAAAAAGGTTAAGTGTAAACTCACAGGTCAAAGCCTATGGGTATACTGATGGATCCAAAAGTTGTCCTTGAGTTCTACTTTCTTTAAAGTAGAGAGAGCCTAAGTACTAGTAAAGCAATTTGAGTGTACATTTTGACTATAATCTCCCAAATCTTGGCTGTGCTGTTCTCATCTACTTGTAACTTGCTAACAGTTACTTGCTTTGCTTTTGGTGGGAGACTGAGTACAGCAGACTTTTTTGAGGTGCTGGATTTTTTGCCCCTATACCTTTCCCCTTCTTTAGGGAGTTTGGGATGGAAACTGTTGAGGGAGATTCTCAGTGTTGGGGGGCTCTGGGGATAGAGATCGCCACCCTCCACACAGCTGAGTGCCTCTCATTTCATGTTCTTGTGGAGGTAGTCCAGGGCGTTTTCACTCCTTGGAGGACCATAAAGTTCACCATTTTATTTCTCTAGCTAAATTTATTATACTAGAAAATGGACTCAACAAAGAAGTTGTTGAGGCTAATGCCAGTCCCAGTATTGAAAGTGGGTGAGCAGGTGTCACTGTTACAGGAGCTAAGCCAGTCCTCTAGACAGCTCAGGATGCCCTCTGATGCTTGTGTCACCACCATCACGATTCCTTATCCAGCAGCTTTCTCCAGACAGCAGGTCGGACCCATGACGTACTGAGTCCTGCAAGATTCCCATTCAGCTCAAGTGATCCTGCCCATGGCTCTGGCAGCAAGTCTTTTTTCCTGGGCAGCTGCAGTGCTGTTAAGCTGATTTGAGAGACCATATAGGTCTTCTGGTAGCAGCAATGATGCAACTTATGAGTCTCTCATGTCAAGGCTGTCACAAGCTTGGCCAAGGAAGATCAGTAGGAAGACGTACTGCTGATACTGAGGCGTTATCGTATTTCTTATGGTCCATACTCTCTGTGGTGAATCACAAGGGGCAGAGATGAGGATCTTTTTGGCGCCACCTGAGTATTGGCCTTTTTCAAAGTGTTGAAAAGACTCTACAACCTACTCAGCACCAACATCTTCCCCATCTGTGGCTGAAACAATCTCTCTTCTTGAAGATAGAAATGAGCTTCCCACTGATTGTCTTCTGTCTTGAGAGCTACTGACTTACATGTGTGGAATCACCCTAGAACATGTAGACCACACAGTTGAGGTCAATGAAAGGGCCATTGATGGCAAAGATACCTTTTGCCAGAATCAACAGCAGACCAGGCAACCAAGCAGCTAATATCACACCTGTTTGCTCTGATCACCACTGCCTCAGAGCCATGGCTAACACTGCACAGGGACATTTATCTGCTGAATGGAAAGCAGATACCCAACAACAGCTCAAACAACTCAGCTTTTCCAAGCCTTTGCAGGGCACCAAATGAGATGGTAGCTGTCTCTAATCCTAATAGTTCACTCACTTTTAAAATTAACTTCCAAAATTTACAGTATTAAATAGAACTGGCATAGATCTGTGAATAAGCACAGCTAGCTTTTGCCAAATTTGAGCAGGGTGAAAGTAGAAACAAACTTCAAAACAAAGAAGGGGCGACTTGGTGTGCAGATAGAGGCAACAGTCACTGGTGTTGCAAAGCCCATGGGTAGGCTGAAAATCAAATTACCAAGGCATGTTAGTTGGTGATACTTGAATTCCAGAAACGTGCTTAACTGTGAAAGTTTACCTGAGGCATCACTCACAGTGTTTGCCACCTGTGTACTATCCTGTGCATCGCTGAGAGGTGTCAGTTCAGCTAGTCCATTCTTATACTGAACAAGTTTGATGAGACTAGAAACTAAAGAAAATTATGCAATTTTTGGTAATTCTGTATTTAACTAATTGGATTGATGCTTGATGTGTGCACACATAAATGTATGCTTATGCCACAATCTTCTATTTTGCCAAGGGTTTTCACTGTTATTTATAAAATCAAGAAAGAATTTTAAATTTTATTAATTTTTTTTGGGGGGAATTTATCAGAAGGCTCTGATTTTTTTCATCTGATTAAAATGTTAAAGAACTGAAATAGCCTTACATTCCTGGAATAAATCTCATCTAGGCACACAGTTTTAGTGGGTTCTCTAGTGTTTTTCTTAGACATCTACATTCACATAGATTGGAATAACGCTTTCTAAATAGTAACTTCTCTGATTCTTACAATAGCTTTTTCATTAAATATTTTTCTTATTCAGCTACACATCTTGATTATTTGCTATCATGTTTTGGTGTATTTCCTCTACCAGAACAGCATTAATGCAGATATTTGCTAAAAGGTTACTTCTACTTAGCATGATCTCATTATTCAAAACAAATTATTCCCAAAGTTTTTCTAAGTCAAGTAAGTGCTTTCATATGCTAAATGCAGTTAACAAGAAAATCAAAACTAGGTTTTCTTCCAACTAAAGGGAAGAAACCTATTTCAAGTACATTCTGAAGAATGCAGAAAGAGACCAAGATAATTTTATGTGCACATTTCCTCTCCTACAAATTGTAGACATTTTAAGAATTCTGATATAGAGAACTCTGAAGGCAAGTGATCAAAATATACAGTGAATATTTAGATTATAAGAAGTTACAGTAACGACATTGCTATGAAGCCCTTTCAAATTACTCTTCCTCACTTCAGACCCACTTGGCCCCGTTCTTGCCACTGCGAGGCAGCACTGCACGTCCTCTTTCATGTCTTTATGGTGTGAGCAAAAACAGGGCAGCAGAAACAGTATAATTAAATGACACTTACAATACAGGAGCAGAATGGCTTCAGAAAGTAGCAAGAGAGATAGGACAAGTGTGTTTCAAGTGAGCAGGAGCACTCTGAGGGGGATGAGTGGCACTGTGTCTTTTTTGAAGTAGAGTTTTACAAATTTAAATATTTCCCGTATTTTCAGTAAACACATAGATGAAAGTGATGCTTCAAACAACAGGTCAGCCAGAGGCGCCCGTGATACGCTGTCAGCCCCCAAAGTTATCATTTGTTCGGTAACGTTTTATTTATTTTTTTTTGATGGTACTAGGGATCAAACTCAGGACCTTGAGCTTGCCGGGCAACCACTTATTCCACTGAGCTATGTCCCTGGCCCCAGTATCGTTTTAAAATAATGAATAAGTCATGCATGGCAAGTAGAAAAGCATTAACTTTTACAGGAACAAGAAAGTTTTAGACAAAGAACATTCATCACTTACACAAAGGATAAACAAACAAATCTTTCTCTTAAAGTATAGCTAAATTCATTAAGCTGATGGCCTTTATAAAAAGTTTACAAAAAATTATACAAGTTTTTGTTATTTTAGTGGCTTAAACATAAAGCTGCACAGAAAACATTTTATTTTTGTTGCTCTTGATGAGGTATAAATGGGGAAAGGCAGTGCTAACGAAGGCTGGTCCATCCCCTTCAGCCTTCACACTTGGCTTTTTTGCAAGCTGGAAGAGAATCATCATCCCCTTCTGATGGTCGAGGTTTCTTAACTGTAGAAATAATTCCAAAAGCAGTTTTTCTAGTTTCTCCATGGAGAAGCACTGCTCGGCAGTTAGTGGACACCGCGGCTTTGGCATCACCTTCGGACAGCCCAAACAGCAGCCCTAAGTTTGCCACATCATATGGTCCTCTTATTTCCAAAGGCCTTTCTGCAGCACTAGATATAATTACATTCTTTCCTTTGCAGATCTGCATCAAATTGAGGGCGTTGGAAATCGTGTACCTTCTCATTGTAGAGTCTCTGACAGCAGGGCTATAGACCAGTTCAAAGCCCAGACCTCGGTCAATTGCCACATTAATTGGTGGTCTTTTAAAGTAAAATGGCAGTTTCTCTGTTACAGTAACACAGACTAAATCCACATCTAAATGTGTGCAAGCAACATGGAAAAGTTTTTCTGTCTTTGGAAAAACTGCAATGATATCATACAGCCGGACCCTTGAAGAAGTCGCCCTCAAAACATTGCAGTGAGATGGATCTGTAACTATAATCGTCAATCTAGTTAAAATTTTAATTGGTCTTGATTTTCCCTGAATAATCGGCAAAGTTGTGAAAAGCTCAGAAACTGCTATTGGTTTTTCAATTTCCTGTTTCTTTTCCTTAAAGTCAACAATATGATTGATGGCAACAACTGAATAACCAAGGTGAGCGGCAGTTTCCACCATTCCGCGCAAAGCCTTCAGATCAGAACTCGCTCGGAGGTCTAAATCTGCAAACGCCGCCATGCTGAACTCCCATCGCGATGGATCTTATGACCCGCCGATCATAAGATTGGTTTGGTGATTGGTAGTGAGGATTTTCGTATGAGGTTGGTCCTCTAAAACTTCCCTGAAAAATCTTTATCGGATTTAAAACATAACAAGGTCCTATTTCTACAAGTTGAGCATCTTCATCTATGCTCTGGAAGTTCCAAACCCATATCCTATAATCCAAAATGGTGAAAGTAAATACACGGTACGCAAATGGCTGGCTTTTGGGACGATACCATGGTGTACTAAAAATCTGAATTAAGAGTTCTTTTAACAAAGCACAATGTGACAATTCATCAAAAGCAGGGTCAAAAGATAAAAGTGGCCAAGAACCTTTCAAACAGTTTCCAGTCATCTTTAATTCAGCTAGGGTGTGAATATTTTGAACAAGAAATTTGGCAGAGGGCCCATAAGGTGAATTTGAAAGCCACATATAAAGATCTTGTTTTTTTCTTAGCTTCAAAATAGATGCATTTATTGCAGTTTTTCATTTCACAGACCTCATTAATCACAAATAATTTATCTTTATGATCCATTTTAGGATCTGCTTTAGAATGAGGCATCAAGGTTCTCAAGTCCTGCATTAAATGTCTTGTTCTGAAATTTATTCCTCTTGAAGAAAAGATGAGAATTCGCTCCTTATTTTTCCACTTGCCCTTGGAAACAGGGCCTGGGATACGGTCTCTTTCAGCTTCCTCCATCTCTTCTGCCACAGCCAATGACTTAACTGGAGGCCCACCATCTTTCTCTTTTCTCTTTGGCTTCTTTGCCCCAACTTGCAAGTTCCCATGCCGTTTCCTCTTGGCTGCCACCATCTTGCCCCAGCACCTTCGCTCAGGACTGTGCTAGTAGTAAATTTCTTGTCATGGCATTTTTGCAATTAGTACTGTTCCAAATGCTTAGGACCAGAAGTGTTTAATATTTTGAGGTTTTTCCAATTTTGATTTTTTGCTTGGTTGGTTGTTTTTTGTTTGTTTTCTGGTGTTTTTTTGTTTTGTTTTGTTTTGGTTTTTTGGGTTTTTTTTCAGTACCAGGGATTGAACTCAGGAACTTGCGCTTGCCAGACAAGCCAATTTTGAAATATCTATATAAACTTTAGGGCTGAACATTTCTAATCCAAACATCTGAAACTTTCGACCATCGGTTCATCAATCAAAAGGTTTTAGATTTCAGGGCATTTTGGATTTCAAATTTTAGGATTACGGATGCCTGGCTTAAACAGGGAATCTGTAATGGACAATAAACCCTGAAAGGGAGACTGAGGTCCTATATAGGCCCTTCGAGTCCTTGTGGGGGGGGGTAGATGAATTTTATTAACAACTGAGAGAACAAGCCATTCCTTTGAGTCTGGCACTACACAAGGCATATCAGATGCAACATTTCAATCATCCAATAAGCCTACAACTAAACGCAAAGGTAAAATGGAAAGTGAACAAAACTGACAAGAACAACAAGTAGGATGCTGAAGTAATTCTGGCATAAGAAGATACAGTGATAAAAGTTATTGGTGCCATGCCATGATGGGAATGATCTCTAAAGGTCTTCAACAATTTCCTGGATGTCACTATCAGCCCAACAATTCTAAAAAATGTACCACACTGGTGCACAGTGATGTTGGTTGTGAAGATTCTGGAGATCAACAATAATTGTACTTTTAGATCAGTTTTGCTGTGTACCTAATCTAACAAAAAACTGCAGTGATTCTTTTAAAAATGATAACAGTATCTATTTTATAATACAACCAGAGAAGGTTTTATAGTCATTTTTATTTCCCTGCTTGAAAAAAAAAGCATGTTATTTCAGGGAAACTTCTACTAACTAAATTTTCATTTCCTTCTACTGGGAGTGGAAAAACTTAAATTCCAACTCAGTTGCCTTCACACACACACATGCATGCACACGCACACAAATGCATGCATGCACACATGCACATATATGTTTTCTGGGAGTAAAAGAAAAAGTAGAGATACAAAGTAATTCCTCAATTAAAGTAATACACCACTTCATAATTTCAGTTGAATGAATACAGGCATCAATAAGCTTCATTTATTAAGCCTTCTTTTCCATTTGTCTCCAATTCCTGAAACTGAAAGACACTAGTGTCAGTCAGTCACATGTCATTGCAATTGCTATGGCACTAGAATGGAACCCAGTAGCTACAATCAAGTTAAAAGGTTACGAATAGTGCCAGGTACTGGGATACAGGCCTGCAATTCCAGAATCTGGTAGACTGAGGCAGGATAGCCCCAAGTTCAAGATTAGCCTGAGCTACACAGTGAGACACTGTCTCAAAAAAGTCAAAAAGGTTACAAATAATACTCTCAATGTCACTTTTCTTGCTTATTCAATGTTGAAACAATGAAGTATACCTTAAGACAGAAAGATCTTGCAAGAACTTTCATAAATTTCAACTATAACATGCTTAAGAAGTGGAACCATCTGAATCCATCTATTTCTTAAAAGGAAACTTCTTTCAAAGCTTATGAGTCAGATTCATGATATGAATGTAATTAATATATTAGCATTATAAAATGTGAAAATCAGGAGTTAGTCTATCATCTCATAGAAATGAAACATCATTGGCAAGAGGAAACTGAAGTTCCCATTTTCTTATTAATTCTCTCCATTAATACAAGATTTAAACAACTACTGCATCAAATTGATCAAGATTTCTAATTTTATCTTTATATTAATGTTTTAAATTACTGTAAGTGGTATTGTCAGATGTCTAAAGACTGAGAAATGGTTATAATTTAAGTATTCCAAGGCAATGAATTCTCAAGAATGACTTATCTCCAAAAGCTAGCAAAGAAGGGAAGGAAGAGGGCAAGCAAAGGAGTGCACAGTGTAAGAACAAGAAGTGCAAAGCAAAAAGATGAAGGAAAGGAGTATGAATAAAAGTACCAAGAAGAGGAAGGGACAGAAAAAAGATCTGGTATGGCATATGGCATTGAACTAAAATATTTTATTTCTATCTCTAACTGAATATAATTCTCAGTCTTTCAATATTACTTTAAAGACAGAAGAGAAAAAAAGAGAGCAAAATACAGTGAGATGAGTCCAATACCACTTTGGGCACAATGTGGTTAAAAGACAGGTGTTTAAACAAAGTGCATGTACTAATGAATCACTGTGCACTCTCTCCAGTCTGTCTTTCCTTCTGTTTTATAAACCACAGGTCCTGTCTTTCATTAGGATAAACTTTCAATTTAAAACATACACACACAGATGCAACAAAATGGGGAGAACATTTCTACCTCCTGCAGTCATAGACAAAAACACTAGGGGAAAAGCACCTTTTCTGTCAGAAAAGAATATAGCTCTCATGTGTTGAGGTCACAAATAGAAAATTCTTTTTTTTTTTTTTCCCCTTGGGGGGGTGGGGGAGCGGGCGGAAAAGCTGGTTCTTTTATTTATTTATTTATTTATTTATTTATTTTTAATGAGCAGAATATATTTATTGAGAGAAAGAAAGCTCCTGTCCAAGAGAGGGACAGGAGGGGGGCCCGAGCGGGTAGTTCCCCCACAAATAGAAAATTCTTAAAAAAATAAATTCTTATTTTAAAATACCTAATCACTATTATGATGACAGTAGGAAAACGAGCCTTAGGGAGGTGATTAGATCGAGAGAATGAAGCACTCTTAATTGGCACGACCAGCCTTATAAAGAGGCCTCAGAGGTTGCCTTGCCCCAGACACCATGTGAGGATAAAGAGAAAAGGTACTATTTATAGGGAGTTGTCAACAAATACAATGAGCTTTTCCCTCTTCCGTGTACGGTGTCTAGAGGCTTTCACAATGGTCCAGTACCTGACATACCGTAGTAGGCTTTCCTACAACAATGCCTTTAAAAAAACTAGGCTGTCCTGAACCCCAGGGTATATAATTGTTTACCTTTATACCAAGAAGGTTGGGAAGACCCCCAAATGTGCATGTGGTGTGTGCCCAGGCAGACTTCGAGCTGTGCAACCTAAAGTTCTTATGAGATTGTCTAAAACTTCAAGAAGCATGTCAGCAGGGCTTATGGGGGCTCCAAGTGTGCCAAGCATGTCCATGACAGGATCAAGAGCACTTTCTTTATTAAAGAGCAGAAAATCATGGTGAAAGTGTTGAAGGTGCAAGCACAGAGTCAGAAGGCTAAATAAAACATTAAGTAGTTGCAGTAACAAAAGAAAAAAAAAAAAAAAAAAAAAAAAAAAAGAATGCTTAAACTTTAACAATTATTATAGTAAAAGACGTTGCTATTACTCTCCCTCAAAATAGTCCACCCACTTTGCTTTGAACACTTATCCCATCATTTGGTCATTCTCTGAAGCAGTTCTGAAAGTGCTCTATCATATTTTTGTAAGGTGGGATCAAAATACTATAAATACTATTACACAAAGTACCCTTCAATGGAAGCGTAGGGTTGTGAAAACAGTATGATGGAGGGACTGCGGATGTAGTTCAGTAGCACAGCATCTGCCTAGTGGCAAGCATGAGGTTGTAAGTTCGATTTCCAGTACCAAAATGAACATTACTGCTGAGCATGGTGGCACATGCCTGTAATTCCAGTGTGTCGAGGCCAGTCTAGGGTACATAAGTGAGTTCAAGACCAGCTTGCATTATATAACCAGACCATGTCTCAAAAATAAATAAATACATACATACATAAACATTGCTGCGTGTCATCTATTTTATTCAGTGGACTTGACACTGTAACTTCTAGTTCTTTCCCAAAATCAAAATGACAATGAAAGGTGAACTATCTATTTATTTTGTATTTTAGGGAAGGATCTACAGAGGTGTTCAGGGTCTCACTACTAGATTGAACTTACAGTGATTCACCTGTTTACGGCTTCCCAAGAGCTGGGATTACAGATGTGTGTCACCACCCCCAGTCTCAATGGTCTCAATCGCTTCTCAGCATACCGCTGGGGGCAGGGCCAGTGCAGCAGGCCAGGGGATCGAACCTCCGACCCCTGCACGAGCTTTAATCCACTG